GCTGTCACCGGAAAATGTTCATATGAATTGGAGAACCAAGATGGAGAAAACTTGCCCAGCAACTAGAACGTGGCACACCTCAAAAGATGTTATTGCTGATGAACATCACCAAAACTGACAGTACGTGCTGCACTCTTTTTCCCTTTGTCCAGTTTTTGTCCCAATTGGGTTTTTCTTGCAAGGTTTTTAACGAGGCAGCAACAAAATGCATACTATAAATAAATCTTCAACAGCAGCAATAAGACCTTTAATAACAAGGCACACAAGCAAAGATACACTCCTGGACGGTTAGATAATCTTTGGCTCTATAAAAAAATTCCCACCGGGAAGTTAAGTTTGCTATCGAGCAAAGGTTACCCAACCGTTCACAAGTACAAACCACTAGAGGGTTGTTAGATAATCCTTCACTCCATAGCATAAATTCCTGAGGGGGAGTAAAGTGTGTTACCGAGTTAAGGAATATCTATCAATTCATTGGTGGGATCCTCGAAGGTATAAGACTTCCAGTGTTCCAATTTGCATTCTTCACATTCGAACACTCGGGGGGGGGGGGGGGGAATAACAATGACTGCCACATCGACCGGGAAGCAAAAATCAAAAACATAATTGCATCATCAGTACTGGGGACTACGCGGTCATCCCCATAGAAACAAGTTGTACAAGTTAGCCAAAAGTAATGGCTATTTCTTTTTTCAGCATAACAAATACTTATGTACTTTTTGAAAATAGAAGGAATAAAAATGAAGTCGTTTTTCTTTTTATCTTGTTTCTTGTATGAACGATGAATTAACTTTGTCATTTGAAAGTTAAACAAGTACTTCAAATGCTAGTGCCGTAATGAACAGAAGACATCCTCTTCAAGAGCACCGTAAACATAAGAGGGTCCTCTCTTATAAAAGCCCTCACGTTAAAGGGTTTGTTTCGGAAAAATTTATGCCCGGAATCAAAAAGCCTTCGGGGAAAAATACACCCGAAGCCGTATACGAAAGGACGCAAAGAGAAAACTTGCATAAATACTTATAGAAGCCCATATGTAAAAGGGTTGATTTTGAAAGAACTTATGCCTAAAATCAAAATACCTTTGAGAAAAATACACCCAAGGCTTCACATAATAAGACGCAAACAGTAAAACATGTGCAAAACTCCTAACAAAAAGAAAAGATTGCAAAGATTAAAACTTGCATAAACATTCAAACGAAAGAAAGACTCAAACAATACTTGAGCAAAAAGATATTATTTTTTTGCATTAACATGCCATATGGCAGAGATACAAGAATTGGAAAAAGAAAAGAAAAGCTAAACTGCATAATCTCCGGAACCCACATGAAGAGAAGTGTTCGCGCCCCCAGGGGAAGTGGATAGATCCGCTGATGGCTCAGCATTTTGGCCTACACCAGTTTGGCCTTCAACATCTTCGTCTTCCGCTTTCTCTTCAATTCCCGAAGTTTTGGAACTAGAACCGTAAGAACCGGAAGCAGCAGGCTATGCTGGGAGACCATTTTTAGCAGCCAACTCAAGCTCATGGGCCTTAGCAATTTCAGCATCAAGTCAATGATACCAGCTTTGGCCTCTTCCAAGGTTTTTCTCCTCATGTTGTACATAGCGTAAGTTTTCTCAACAATAAGAGACGCCGCTCGATGCTTAAGTTCTTCTTTGAGTTGGGTTACCTCGGTAGAAAGGCTTTACCGGGCGGATCTAATGGATCTGAGGCTAACATCAAGGTCACGAACAGTTGAACTAAAAGGCATATTATGCTCGATAGTTTTCCTATACTTCTCATCCAACTAGGCATGTTTTGCCCCCGCGGCAGCAAGTTCTTCAGTTTTGGAGTTCAAGGCTGCCTCTAAGTTAGTCACTCTTTCAGTAGAGGTAGCCTCGCGGTCGATTGCTGCAAGAACGACGTTATGGGCTTCAGCCCATTTGGCCCTTGCTTCGTCAAATCTAACCCTCAGCCGACCAATCTCTTAGCTATGGGCTACCATTTCTTACTCGCTTTGTTGCAAACGAGCCTCCAATACAACAACCTCTACAGCTTTGGTTTCCAATTTTGAGAGACGGGCGGCAGTTTGCTCCCGCTCTGCCAAAAGTTGATCTCGTGCGGAGGTAAGTTCTTCCTTTTCCGAAATCAACCTTTGGAGGTCCTCTGAAGCAAGAAAGCTGGACTACAAAGAAAGAAAGGAAAAACTCAGGATATGTTTACGCAAAAATAGAATAAATAACAAAGGAAAAAAGGAATGCACCACTGCATCATTGTACATGGCGTTGTTCAACAAACACTCTCCCGAGAAGCCCTGTATCTTTTCCCAATCTTTCTCTGAAGCAAAAGGCTTTATGTAAATAGCAAGCTCCACCGGCCGGGATAGCAAGTTGCATCCGGTGCAAATCGAAAGAGTAACATTCCTCCTCCTTTGTGAATCTTCAGAGGGGGCAGCATAATTTTGCCCCAAATTCCCATGAACTGGGGACTGGGGAAGAGGAACACCTTCTTCTTGGTTGGGTGCGACCGATGGAGATTATGTAGCAGTTGCTGATGGAAGAGCTAGGGAAGGTGGAGATGAAGCTGATGGCAGTGAATGAGAAGCAGCTACGACAAATACAGTGCTCGTTGTTGGATGCTCGCCAATCGATGACAGCAGGGACCCGGTACTCAGCCCCGGAGTATCAGGCACAGCAACTGGGCTCGAAAACGGGAGTTGGCATTATCCACCATATCAAATTCCCCCCAAAGTGCCGAGACATCGTCCTCGGTTGGTGTAAGTAACTCAATGGGTTGAGCATCCAGTTGAGATGATAAGGACCGTTGTCTTCTATGTAGAGAATCTCCCTCATCACTATATTCTTCATCATCGTCGATCATCACGGTGTCTATGACCGGCCCGAGAGGAGAGCTAGTCACCACAACTTTCAGAGATGACTCAGTGGAAACAATCTTCGCCCTCTTATTCTTTTCCTCGTCGTGGAGGAGCGTCTTCTTTTTGATTGTTTGTCCTCCGGCCGAGGACTTCATAACGAAACACTAGTACCCAAAATATGCCCGAAGAAACCTATTCAAGTAAGCGCCTCCTGAAGCAGCCTCGCCGCATTAGCAGGATCAGCCAAGACGTCTTCCTCGGTAACAAATACATAGTCCGCGGGTAAACCTGATTTTAGAGAAAAGGTAGAAGGGATCAATCAATTTCTTTACATAAAAAACTGACACAAGGTGAGTCTGAGTTACCATGGTTTTTGGCTTTCAATCCGTATTTGAGGGCCATTTCTTTCCACGTGTAGGTTTCCGGTGTAGTGACATAAAATATGTTCTGGACCCATTAGTCCAAGCCTTCAACCATTGGTGGGACCCATCGAGTTGCTTAAACAGGCAAAGGATGAAGGATCAACATGGGGTATAGAAGAAAACCTAATAAAATAAATATTAAACAAAAAGCTTATGAGTGCGGTTTCACCCTTCCGGAAAGGATGAAGCCATTGGTGGAATGATGTCATTGGTGGCAACTGCAACAAACTGTTCCATCCACTCACGGTCATTGTCATCATCCATGCTAGATAACAGAGCATGGTGCCACGTTTGCTAAAATTTATCACCCCCCCCCTCCCGAAATATTTTGGAGGAATAAAGATTTATCACATGATCTAAAGATATCTCCTGTCCCGTCTCTTGGCACAAGCTCCGAAGACAAGCAATCGTCCTCCACACATAAGGACTTACTTGTGCGAAACACACCTGATAGCGGAGGCATAACTCCGTAATAATGGAGTCAAGCTCATTACTCAAAGAGAACGAATCCAAAGTAAATGGATACGTGTAAAAATATGTAAAACCCTCCTTGGGTAGGGTCACTCGCTCTGTTAGATCAATATCCATATCATGGCAGCGGCAGTCTTCCATCACAACAGGAATACTGGAAGAACGGATGGAATAAGGGTATCTGCCATCAGCCCATGTGCGAGGGAGACCCGAAAGGAATTTCTCTTCAAAGTCTTTTATTGTAACGAGACTTCAAGAAATGATAGAATCCACCGTTGGAGGAACAGAGTCCTTGGCTTTGCTCTCACCCTTTAAAGAGCTGGTGTTCTTTGAAGATGAAGCCATTTGGATGACAGAAAAGCTTTTCCGTTTTAAGGGAGTTAAAGAAAGGTTAGTTAACAACAAGGAAGGTTTTAGAAAGCCTGAAAAATTATGGAGTATAAGGGTAGAAGGTTGATGCATATAAGTAAAAGTTTTGGCGGCTAAATTCATGGCCATGATTACCTCGATAATCGGCAAAAGCTGTGCTGAATTGTGGGATGACGTGTGTTTGGGGCATTAAATGAAGAGAGACGTGCGTCTAATCAACAGTCAGAAGCTTTCATAGAGAATCATAATAATTTCCGCCAAAAGAGTGTTTTTACCAACTTTCCCGTGACACAAAGTTATGTCACATGAGAGCAGGAGTTCTATCTGTATAGGATAAAATATGCTATGCTACGTGGCCGTCCGAAAGAGGGACACTTGGAACCTAAGACGAGGGATAGCCAAAACCGAAGGCAATTATCCCGTCTGTCACTGGAAAGAATAACGCTCATGAATTTTCTGGCAAACTAATACTACAATCTATTCAAAGCTCTATACAATTTAACTTCTTATTTTCTGTTCTTATTACTGTTGCGCCCAGAAGCTTCACTATCGGAATCTTTATTTCCGTCATTCTGTCTTCCTATCAAGGCTAAGAGTTATATATTTCTTTAATTATCTTATTATTTTAGGATCGAATTAATTCACTTGTATAGAAACCACGTATAAATCAACTGTATTATTTTACGGATAAACAATAACACTCCAACACACTTGACAGAGTAGATGAAAGGAATTCTTCATTCAACTTGTCTTCGAAAATAGTTGCACTATTTAGGTATTCATAGGAATTCTTCTTAAACGTACCTAATCTAGTACACGTGTCATAATAACCTATTCTTGACTTTTCTGCTTCCGAAATACATGTACAAGATCGTACATGCTTTCTTACAATAATTTTGAATACATGAACTAAGTAAATTCATGTACTTTGGATGAATCGAGGTTATTTATCCAAGAGATAGTACTAATGTTACATGAATTGAACTACATCCTACCTCTGGTAATATTACTTATCAGCAGTGTTAGTTAGACCTCCAGTAGTAGTCCTGTAGTTGGGAAAGGGCACTCTACCATTCTCAATAGACATGACATCCTGCACAAGGATTTCATAATGTCGTTTCACTTCTTCAGCTGTTTTCCCTCCAACAGCTCTGGCAACGTTGGACCACCGGTCGGGAGTGTCCTTGTCGTACACCGCCAGAGCCTTCTCAAAGGCCTTGTTCTGCTCTGCTGTCCAATAGCCATGGCAGGACATTGAGCTTGATGCCATATTTGGAAGAACAAGAACAAGGGCGAGTTAATTAGCCGAAGAGACTAGTGACTGATCGTAGCTGTTGTGTGCAAAAGAGGTGGGAAAGTGCTGATTCTCATATCGGTCGAGCATTAGAGGAGCGAGAGGTGTGGGTCGTGACAACGACATACGCGGATTTTATTGGAGCCGAATTAATCTAAATAGCCGTCCATCTAACCACTTAAACTAAAAATTGGCGACGAATATATATATATATATATATATA